GAGTACTAACGGTGGGAGTTGATTGGATGACAGGCAACAGCTCTGTTTTCAGGGAGGCCTTAGAAATGCAGATATGTACTTGTGCGGGGTCCTGGAAGAGTCCTTTCCTCTGTCCCTCTGCCTGCAGCTTAGTCTCCCAGCCTGGTTGTAATGAGTCACGGTGGTCCAAGCAGACAGCCCCAGGGGAGGGTCTGCCCTGTGAGCCCCTCCAGAACTGAGAGCCTGGGTGTTGACGGTCACCTCGGTGTTAGAATCCAGAGGACTGTCCGAGAGGAGGCTTCCACACGCACACAGGCCTCAGCTGGGAGGGAAGCGGTCAGCCGGGTCCCAGAGCAGAGAGCGGGAGCTGTGGATCCAGGCGCCCGCTGGGGGCCACTTCCGTGCCCACCTCCGCTTGCCCAGGACTTGCACTGCGGTGCTCTCCTCGCTCTTCTTGTAGTTTGCCCTGCCCAAGTAATACTGACCTAAGGTGGAGAAATGGGGGTGGTTATTTTTCTAGATTGGAGAGTTGGCAGTCCCTTTAGTTTGGCCATTTCTCCGCGTGCTGTTGGGTGTGGAGACTGTGGTAGAGCCCCCCGAAGGCAGCTCTCAGTGGCAGAACGTGGAGGCGCATGCTCCCAGAGGACCAGCACGTGCTTCTTCCAGTGCAAACCTTCCCCCCCTTCAGTAGTGCAAGGACTAATCATTTAAAGAGTTTATTTATGTACAGTAGGTTAGGCAAACTAGGTTATGTTTCTGGGAGATCTTGCCCAGTTAGTGACTTAACAATCCTGGTAGAGCAGCGGTGCAGCTGGTGGCCTCCGAGATGCCGCCCGTGTGTCCTCTCCACGCTTGTTTTCCAGGAGAGACATGAGCTTTCTGCACTCAACCTGAGCTTACTAGGGCTTCTCTGCACACATGCGGTACCAGAAATCTTCTCGACCTTCTGTAGTCCTCTTTAGGTTGTCTTTTAAAGAGTTTTTTGATTAGACAGTTCCTTTTCCTTGATAAGCTCTTCTCTGTGGACATATGGGCCTCGTGAAGGTCCGACCCAGGAGCCCGGGTCTCCCAGCCCTGTGCCGACAGTGGCTGGTCCCTCTGTCCCAGTGTCCGTAAGCACTAGACTTTGTCGTTCTGTTGCTGCAGATCCAGTGGGTACTATATTCGCTAATTAACGTGAATCTTTTTCCTTATTTGAAGGAGTCCCTCTTGCTGAAAGTGGATGATTACTCTCACTATAGTGTTATGGAAGTATTAAGTTTGTGCTGAAACCCATTGCCATTTGGTACAAATGACATTTGTTCTTTCTGTGAAAGAGTTACTCTCGAGTGTGTTTGTACACAGACCCTTCTAATGGTGAGCTAATGAAGAAGCGTTAGCCCCGTGTTGCTTTCGGTGGTGGGCGAGGTCACGGGGTGATCGCAAGCAGATTGGGCTTTTTGAAGTCATTCTCTCGGATGTTCCACTGGTGCAATGGCCTTGGCCCCTTTCCCTCTCTCCAGTTCAACCTGACTTGAGTATTTGCCTTGATACCCACGTGCTGAAGCTTGTCTGGCTGTGGTGTCGGCATCTGTGTCCCTGGCAGGCGTGAGGAAGGGCACGTGTGGGCCCGGAGCATGCACACTTAGCCCCCGTGTGTGAGGACTGTTTGCTGTGCTTAAAACCATCTGCATAGTTTTCAACTGGAAAAAGAAAAAACTTACTGGTGTGATGTACTAAAATGAAAGCTGCTAACAGTTACAGGGAGAACAGCTGAGGAACAACAACTAGCTAAATGCCCAGAAAGTGCCTGTGCCCGTAGGAGTGCACGTGGCCCTTCAGGACGATGTTCTTGAAGGTGCAGGCAAGACCTTTAAAGATAAGTAGAAAGTAAATGCTTTCTCCTTTTGCTAGTTGGTGAAAACAAACTCTTCCAGGGAATTTTAGCATCTTTTTATGTATCCTATTTACTCTGGGAAGCCTTGTTTTCCTGTTTTAGAACATGCTGTGTTTAATGAAACCGGTTAAAAATTGAGTTTTTGTTTAAGTGCTCTTTCCAGGTGAAAACTACTTTTTTGGTTTGTTTTGAAGGTAAGGGAGGGGGGAAACTTCGTTGTTTTAATAATTACATTTAGTCTATGATGAAGTATTTGATTATTAGCAATTCCACTAATAAGTTTTAAGTTGTCAGAAATTAATTGTAAACATCAGTACAGTACTCTCAGTCATGGCAAAGACAGTTATCCTAAGATAAATGGCTCCTATTTTGGTGCAGTGTCTGATGTTCAAAACAAGATGTTACAACAATAAACAAACGTAAACTGAATGCATTTGACTCCTTCCTTCAGAGGACATTTAAACCATATTCTCTGTACTCTTGCCAGAAACTGATAATTTCCATAAATTAGCATTTTGATCTTTGCTGACACTTAAATTCATCTACAGAAAGGACTTCTTTTTGGTGCTTATTTTTATAAAACCTGACTCCAAAAGTGAGGCTACACCCACAGGAACCAACCTCTCTTGCTTTGTAGGTTCAGCCAGAGAATGATTCATTCATACATATGTAATTTCTGGTGTGTTCTCACTGGCATCCTCTAGGCTGGGTTCCCCTCAGCCCGTGAGGGGTACCCCCAGCAGGCCTGCTCAGAGCCTTTGCCACCCCACCTTTCATTAAACCCTCCCTCCGGGTGAGTACTACTTAGCAGTTCTGAGGTTTTCATCAGCCTAGGAGAGTCAAAGTGATCTTGGATCAAAAAGCACACCCCACATACTATTTAACGACTGAGCCACCCAGGCGCCCCCCCCACATACTATTTAAATGAGTATCTTCTCATCCCCTCAGACTGCTGGGCTCTACCAGATGCAGCATATGCTGGACATGAATCCCAAAGCCCTCCTTGAGAGCCTGCCTTCAAGTATGGGAAAGCTTGTCATGTCCTTCTGCTTCGCCTTGATGTGAGCACAGGGTGAGGGGACCGGGGGTCTTTGGGGTATACGTAGGGAATAGAAAGGACACACTCAGAGGGACATTGACTGGAAGGAGCTGGCTTCCAGTGCTTGGGGTTGGAGCAGTAAGGGCTCATCCCTGCAGCTCATAAGAGTGGAGTCTGCCTTTTTCCTTTCCTTGATAGGACAGTGTAGGGGAAGAAGGAAACGTTCAGAAATTGGGTGCATGTGTATGTGAAGGCATGTTGTAGATCTTCAAGCATGGATTGGGTCTGTCCCTCTGATCACAAACACTCCTTTCAAACCAGTTGTGAGAAACCACTACGTACACCCCAAAGACCCCCGGTCCCCTCACCCTGTGCTCACGTCAAGGCGAAGCAGAAGGACATGAAACCACAGGAAAAATGATAGGGCCACTGAGGAAAGCTCGATTAATGCGCTACCATGGAAATAATTGCCAGTGCGGTGTGCATTGATTTGCATTGTTTAATGCTGGTATTGTTTTGTTGTTCATCATTTAAATGAGTCCTTTTGCTAATGTTACATGTGTGGGAGAAGAAAATGTCCCAGTCCTGTCTGTGCATTAGTGCCCTGACCTTTTTCTCAGCAACAGTGTCTTTGAGAAGTTGTGTCCTGGGCGGGGTCCATACGCCTGACTTGCAGGCACATAGCTTATAGGCCTGTGGTGGACCCCTGGAAGGGACTGCTCCAGAGCTCCTGGAGTCCTGAGCTCAGCTGACCTTGCGTTTTCTCTCTACGAAGGATGGCCTTTCCCTTTTGAAAGATGCCATCTTCTGAAGGAGCCCTGATCTAGCTTTCATTCTGTTTTATCTTGAAGTAAAGGCAGGAGCTGCTGTAATTAGACTTAGTTTACCTTACCAATCTTGGATACACAGAGCTGAAATTCACCTTTTTCAGTAAAGGAGGGTGCATTGAGAGAGGAGGACCAAACTTCACTCAGTGCTCTAGAGAACCACCCAGAGAGCAGAAAGAATAGTCACTGTCTCCCTTCTCTGGCCCCTGCCTTTCTGGCTGTTGAGCATTTGTCCCCTTTGGCACTGAGTAAGGTCTTTATAGGGAGTGTGAGGGCTAAAGTAGGTACATGTGCCAACTGGGTTTTCCTGAAAATGTTCCACTGCATTGGGGTTTTTCCCCATAAGTCATTTCTAGGGCACACAGACTCTTAACAGCCACCTTTAGCCAATTCCCCAGCTGTTGAAACAGGGGAAGAGAATGCCCCCATCCCCCCACCAACTCCTGGACAGAGCGATCCGGATTTTAAAGTCCTAAAACCACAAACTGGTGGTTCTTGGTCACTTCTCCTTACCTGGGGCAAGGGAATGAGAAAGTAGGCTCCTGTCTGAACTGTCCAGTGGCCACTCTGTTACCTCATTTGCGAGCCATCCTGGAAACTCACAGCATTTTCTATAGCATAAGAGTATCCAGTGGCTTGATTTCAGGCCCAGGAAACTTGTTTCTCTGATCCGCATCTTTCCCTGGGGCTCTAGGGGGACTTGCCTCCCCAGGGGCACTTGATTGGCCAACAGATTTTACCAACCTGATGAGCAGGGACCATCTGAAGCTAAGGGTCTTGTGTCCTAGAGGTTTCTTTGGCTGCTGATAAAGGAGCAACGTGCCTGGGCTTCCCTGGAACAGAACGTGCTCTCCATGGGAAGATTCCTGCTTTTCTCCGATGATCTCAGCTTTCAGTGTGATCAGTTTTATGTTGGGCCTCTTGTTGCCTGGGAACCTGAGAGTCAAAGCCGCATCTGCTGTGTGCTGTGCAGCAAGCAAGCTCATTAGCTCAGGCAGCTGCTGATTAGATGAGAACTTTAAGCATCCCCTGGAGGAGCCCCTCTTTAGCTGTGGGGATCACAGGGGGGCCTTGACCTCCAAGCACATCTGGTTTTTTCATAAGCAAAAAAAAAAAAAAACAAAACCCAAGTGTGTAGCTTGCATAGTGAGGGGTAACAATTACATGGTTGAGATTGATTTATGCAAGCTTGCTTTCTACAGCCATTTAAAAAAGTCAATTACCTTTCTGCAGTTTGTTTTTAGCAACACCTCTCAATCCAGAAGGCACCAGACTTCAGTAACTTGAAGTGGTTTTACATCTTTATTGACACTCCCTGCCTTTGCACTTCACATGTACACATCATTCAAGGAGCCCCCCAGGCTGCACAGTCTCCCAGCCTGCCTGCACCGCTGGGCCAGGGCCTGGAGCGCGAGGCGGAGCCAGCCCAGGCCAGCCTGCACCTTGCCCCCAGGTCTCTGCGGTGGCACGTGTGGCTTCAGCACTTGAGTGTTTAACCTTCTCCTGCAGGCGCTGTGAATAAAGACTGTGGCCACCAGCACCGCCTGGCCTGCCCTCATCCCCTCCGCCCTGTAGCCCAGCAGCTCTCCCTCCTCCAGCAGCAGGTCGCGCTCCGCAGTGGGCACCCGATCGGCCCCACTCAGGCCCCTCGAGCAGAGCTCCTGCCGATGCGGCACCAACGCTGGGGGCCGCAGGGGAGGGAGGACCCCGCTCCTCAGGTAGCTGGGCGCAACGACAGCAGGCCATGGCCCCGTCAGGCACATGTGTCCTCGCCACCCGCCGGGGAACACTCAGGTGTGTGGCCTCGGCAGCCACGTCAGGCCTGAATCTCGGGGGAGGGGTTGGGATGTTCACAGAAGACTAGACCAGTGCTCCAGTTACATACATCAGAAACTGCATATATTAAAGCTTCCCAGTTCTTACGACTCTTTCCCAGTACCTTTCCCCAGCCACCCTAGAGGTGAGAAAGGAAAGGATATAAGAAAACCCCACTAAACGTGGAGTACATTTCATCAAAGTCCGTGTGAGCCAACCGGCCCCCAGTCACCACGATGTTGACACCATCTCCTGCCTTCAAGTGCACGACGAGGTGGAACGCCCCCGGGCCCCCACAAGTGTGCAGAGCCCCCTGGGGCCGGTGGTATTCCAGGAACTCCCTCTTGTAGCCGGCTGTGTGCAGCTGGGCCACACTGGCATTGGAGACCGACAGGACAGCCTCCACGTACGCGTCCCTCTCAGGAGTGAGGGTGGCCGTGATCAGGTAGCGCCCATCATACGGAGCCGTGAAGATGCCTGGGAGGAGGAAGGCAGACACTCGTGTCCCGGGACACCATCCCTGCATCTTTGGCACAGGTTGTCCGTTAACCCAGATTTGGGAGACTAACGATCTGTTTTTCCAGGACTGTCCCAGGAGACAAACCGGGAGAGTTGGTCACCCGACCCATAGAAGGCAGGCTGATCTGAAGGGAGGTGGCCCCTTTCTGTACTTGAACCTGCCCTACGCCCACCCAGCGACAGACCCCCTTAGCTGGCACTGCCCTTTGCAACAAACCCAATCCTCACGGTGAGACCCCGTCTTCTGCTTGTAACCTCCAGAAGAGGACAAATACTGCCAAACCCCCAGCATGTGGTACGATCACCGTAACTCACCTCCACCCAGAACAGCCCTCAGAAGAACTTGCCCCCCGCAGTTGTGCAGGGAGAGAACTAGCCAGCCTTGCTGGAAGAGAGCTCAGGCCCTCTAACATTCCCGGCAGCACGGCATACCCGCCTTCGCCGTGCTGTGTGTGCAGCACCGGCGGCAAGAGTCAGGGCTGGGGCCCAGCCCGGGGCCCGCTCCTACCTCCCCTAAGGTTTAGTGGGGCGGCACCAGCTGCCCGGATTCTGGTTGCCATTTGGGAGTTTTCTCCAGCATGGAAAGCACCCCAAGACCCACTTAGAATAAGCCTCACAATGTGTGTGCTGGGCACAGAATCTACGAAATGTTTGAGTTGCTTCCTGAGGAGACGGGGCCAAAAAGAAGCCACAAAGCTTGTGGGAGAGACCACAGCCAGTCCTCATGCAGAAGAGCCAGGCTCCTTGTCTTGGACCAGTATACAGGTGGCATCCATTTATGGCCAGAAATAAGCTGGCATTCATTGAGCCAATGACCCACAGGTTCTGGGCCTGGGGAAGCAGTGCTCGGAGGTAAGGAGATGGCATGAGAAAGAGGAGCTAGATTTGTAGATGGACCATTTGCAAAGCGACAACTGGCCCCAAAGCCAGACGAGGTCGGAGCCCGCACCAAACGCTTACAGCAGCCACTTCCCCTGGGCTGTGGGAAGGGAGCTAGACATGGACGCTGACCACAGGCCAAGAGTGACAGAATGGAGGGCCCAGGAGCTGAGAAGGAATCTCGGGGGCTGGGTCTTCATCTGCCCTGAAAAATAGAAAATGCCAGGCCACCCTGCTCTCTTCCCCAGCTTGTAATGGTGAGTAATCTGAAGCTCCACAGTCTTCCTGAGAGGCACCTGGACCCTGAAAACAGACCTGGTCCCAGCACTCCGGGCCCATGGCCTCTTTCCTCACTTAGAGACTGCCTGTGCTGAGTCCACACTCAGGGTCCCCCAGAATTTCCTTTACTGAGGACCTGCTCAACGAGAGAATACAGTTCTGGGCTGGGCATCCTGGAATGTGCCAGAAATGTGCCACCGTCCCTTCTTGCCAAGACCACCTGACCTGTCAGGGTGGACAAGCTATCCCCACCACCGAGGCAGCATGGAGTGAGGGCTCCAGGAGGAGGCTGCATTTGAGTAGAAAATAAAGGTCCCTGAAAGCAAAGGCACTTCTTGCACCCCGGCCTGCCTCTGTGGCTCAAGAGCAGGTTAAAACTGCAGAGTCCTGGGGCACCTGGGTGGCTCAGTTGGTTAAAGGTCTGCCTTTGGCTCAGGTCATGATCTTGGGGTCCTGGGATCGAGCCCCATGTTGGGCTCCCTGTTCAGTGGGGAGTCTGCTTCTCCTTCTGCGCCTCCCCTCATGCTTGCTCACTCAAAATCTTTAAAAAAAAAAAAAAAAAAAAAGTCCTGCGCTTGACTTCCAACTGGCCTGGAGGATACTTGAGTTCCATTTTTTTCAAGCTCTGCAGGTTATTTTTATGCTCACTAAAACTTAAGAACCACGTGGGATTTATTAGACGGCCACGCAGGGCAGACATGAGGGTGAGGGCTAAAAACTCTGCTGAGAAGGAATCCCGTAACCTCCCTCAACTCCCACCTGCCGTCACACCCATGTAGCTCCTGGGCGAGGACCCGTGTGGGCACCTCAGCACGCTGGCGCTTGATGGGCTCAGAGACCGGCTTCTCAGACTCTGGGGGCTACTCGGGAAAGGCCGCCCAGCTGCGTGGGCCCTCAGCACCTGCGGCGGGGCTCTGCCCTGACCTGCCCTGGGCCCACCTGGAGCTGTACTGCCCTCCGTGCTGCCCAGGGGCTCAGCAGGGAAGGGGGGCCCTGACCCGCCTTCCCTTCATATGGGGGACAAGATGCCCGTGTCTGGCCTCTCAGGAAGGCTCTGACTCCAGTCTCCGGGGACAAAGATGGACAGAAGCCCAGGCTCAGGTGTGATGGAAAGGAGGAAGCTTACACCGCAGGAACCTGAGGTGACCTTGGTCCTCACTCTCGTCAGGGGCTGGGGAACAACACAGTTGCCACAGGCAGAACCCAGGCCCACAACTGAAGTCGTTCTGTTCCAGAGCAGGGGACCCCACAAGCAGGGTCTGGCCCCTTCTGGAAGGAATGCTGTCCCCTTTCTCGGCTCTGTTCATAAACAACAAGCTTCTGAAGGAGACAGGGCAGGGGGTTGGTGTCCCGTCTGTCCTGTCTCGGTGTGAGGACAACAGGACACTGAAAAAGGCCTCTCGCTGGCATGGAGGGACAGCTGGGGGTGGCCAGGGCGCAGTAACTGTGGTGGGCAGAGCTCCACGACCTCCACCAACAAGTGGAACGGCGCTTCCCATGGCAAGTGCCGAGGGCTGGTATGCTGATCTCATGACTAGAAAATGTCACCGCACACCCACCCACCCTGCAGCCTGTGAGCTGGAAACCTCCATCAAACCCCACCAAGTGGGGAAGAGCACCAGGGGCCAGCTGGCCCCTCACGCGCCTGCAGCTGCCCAGGCATCTCCTCCAGCGTGGCGCCCCCACCCCACCCCACCCCACCCCACCCACAGGCCCCGGGGAAGCAGACGGGACCGGGGGCCCCACTGGCGTTGGGAGACAGCGCACGGTCTCCGAGCTTACCGGTGTTGGGGTTGTACACATCTCCGTCGTTCACCAGCACTTTGTTAAAGAGGACGACGCCGCCGTCGCTGGGGAAAGGCTTCTGAGTGAGCCCCGCAGAGAAAGACACCAGAGAAGGCACTGGAACCCCTGGAGCCGAGAGGACGTGGAACATTCGCAGGGGTTAGAGGGCAGGGCCTGGAGCCCTGAGGCCTGTGTGCCAGGCTGGACAGGCAGCCTCAGCTGTACTCTTCCGCCTTAAGGTGGTAAAGCCCGTGGGACGCGCAGTGGGACGCGCACTGGCCGGGGGTGGACACGCGAGGCCGCATGCACGTGTGAGAAGCTGTGTGACCCCGTGCCCACCCTGAGCCCCCGACACCCGCACGTGCGCAGGGTGGGGAACCGGGAAGCTGGGCGCGGCACCAGGCAGAGACCCGGCCGGTGAGCCTCTCGGCCAACTCCGCGAGCTGGCTGAGGTATGAGGGCAAGTCCTTGTCTCGGGCATGACCCTGACCCTCTCTGAGGAGCAAATCTTGGCGGCGGGGAGGTCAGTCCAGTAGGTGGCGGTCTCCCCCTCAGCTGGTGGACCCCGGCTTCCACCCACACTAACAGCCCAGAGGGAGCACGCGGGACACGCCGCCGGGGAGGGGCAGAGGCGGCCTGGTCCCCCAGCACACGTACCTGGGGAGGCTACCGGAGGGGAGTTGGGGTATCCTGAAAAACAAAATGGGGTCGAATGTCAAACAGGAGCCCCGCTTTTTCTCCCTGCTCCTCACGCTATTTCTTTAAATAGACCAAACAAGCACCCCCCGCCCCCGGCAAGCTGCCTTCCCAGAAGGAGAGGCACAGCTGTGCCCCCGCGGTGCCTGCTTCCTCACTGGCCCGCTTCTCCCGACCAGAGAAGAGCCCTAAGGGCAAGCTGGCTGACCGAGGAAGAGAAAGAGGAGGCTGGACGGTGCTTGCGGCGTGACTGCATGGATGGGTGGGGGGTGGAAGCGCGGATGGACAAAGGGCCAAACGGCAGGAGAGGCGGTACAGACAGCCGTAATGCCTGGCACGGCCAGGAGAGGAAGCGTCCTCTCCGGACAGGCACAGTCGCCTGGGGGAGAGCTGTGATGGCTGCAGCTTGGGGTGGCTGAGCAGGAAACAAGCACCGTGCTTCCCTGTGTCCCCGGCATGGGCCCCGCCTGCCTGGCAGCCATGGCGCTTCAGGGGCCCCTGGTGCGCGGGGTCAGCCTGCTCCGCTTTGCACTGTCCTACGCAGCACCCTCCGCTTACCTGTCCCCGCCCCGAGCCTCCGTTCCCGCACGTGTTAAACGGGACTACTCTGGACCGCACAGCGCAGTCAGGACAGCTACAGCAGCCCCAGCACCTGATTCAGTCCCTGGCACGCAGCAGGGGTCCCACACCTGCTCGCTCCCTTTTTCTTCTCCCTCCTGCCTTGCCCTGCACAACTCGCAAGTAGCCCTTCCTGGCCGAGTGCTGAATGAGGCTTTTCTCCATCACCCTCAGAGCTGCCCCCAAAGCTCCCACTATTACCCCCACTTTGCCTGTGAAGGAGCTGAGCTTTCCAGGGGTTACGAAGCTGCCCCAGGCCCCAAAGCCTGTGGTCACATGGCTGAGATTTGAGCCAGAACCTTCTGGCCCACCCACTCTGAGGGGCGGTGTTCTCTGCTGCTGCGGAGGCTCCCAGTCCACACTGGTCTCCTAGGTACACTTTCCTACTGGAACTGGGACGAGATGTTTACTGCACTAACCCTGGGGGTGCCCCAGCCTCTGGGGGTTCGATTAGCATGAACTCATCCCTCAGCACCTCTGAAGAGCTCTTTTTTGGAACTTGCACCCGGGAAGACCCTGCAGCAGACCCCCTAAGGCTCAGGCTGACCCTCCATATATTCTCACAATGCCCCCCGCCCCCAACTCAGATGTGCCCAGCCACGGGGGCCCTACCTGGTGCTCCCGCGAAGCCTTCGGCGCTGGGGATGGGCCCCTGCCCCGTCTGGCCGTCCACTCCTTGGGGCAGGCCCCTCCCCGACACGCCCATCCTCCCCGGAGGCCCGGCCTCTCCAGTCTCCATAATAACCCCCGTGGAGCCGGGCAAGTAGGGCATCCCTGTCCAGCCCGGCCGTGTTGGCGGGGGCAGTGGCTGCGGGGGTCTCTTGGGCAGGACAGGCCACTGGTCCGTGTGTGGCCGTCTTCTGGGGTCCTCAGGAAGCAGGGGAGCGCTCGGTGTCGGCAGAGGGGTCGGCTCGGGATGAGAGGCCTCCGTGGGGGCCTCCTCCAGAGCCGGGTGGGAGGGCCTTCCAGGCACCTGCGGGGTCTTTCCTCGGGGCGGGGGGGGCGGCAGTGCTTCTGAGGGCTCCTCGGCTGAGCATTTGGAAAGTGGAGAGAAAGGTTAAGAACCTCAGACTCGACTGCTCAGCCCCAGGCCCCTGGGTGAGACCTGATGGGCTCGGCAGCCTGGGAAGGTATGTGCTTGTGCATCAGCAGCGTCCTGGGCACGGGCCTGGCGAGCCCAGCGCATCCACCAGAGCGGGGGCACAGCATGCCTCACAGCTTCAGAAGGTGGGCCACGGGGCAGGCTGCTCTCAGGTCACCCAGGAGCTGGTGAGGTCACTGGGGACCCCTGCACAGTGGCCAGGGGAGGTGGGAGGATTTTCAGCCTTTCCACACAATGGTTGCCTCCCCAGAACAGCACCATTCTTGGCCCCAGCACTAAAACTTCGGATTTCACCACATGATGATACCACAGGTCTATCACGAATTACTGAACGGGACCTGCTGCCCCCAACCACCTTATGTTCTCTCAAACCGGCAAGTCTGGGGGTCACTGGATGGTTCCACAAGCCAAAGCCCTGCCGAACGCAGATGCCACAGTGACCCCAGCAGGCGTCAGGGAGCTTAAGGCCCCTCTGCAGCAGGCACAGGCCCCAAAGGAGCAGAAACACCCTGCACCTCTTGCCACATCCTTAAGCTCACCAACTGAGGGGAAGTCCACCGGAGGAAACTTCTGATTCACATTTCCCTGCCCTCGGGGGATGGCGCTGTGACACACCAGGAAGCAGCCAGCCCTTCCTCCTATGAGTACATTCCTGGAACCAGGCAGGCTTCCAGGAAGGCTTCCTGAGGGTCCAAGAGGCGTCTAAAAATAACCAGGAATGGCAGATAGCAGCCTCCAGCCCCACCCACCTCTGCAATCTGTATGGTACCTGCAGGGCCCAAGTCCCGGAGCTACACAGTGATCAGTGATCGCATCTGGACCCACTGTCTCGTTTTCAAACTCACCAGGGTAACTGTGGTGATTGTACACGTGCTCCCCGTCCACCAAAGAGCCACGTAGCTCACCCACCTCCAGCCCCAAAGGGACTGACCAGTGCTCCATGAGAGAATTAAGCCCTACGGAAAACGATTCACCACTTTCTCAGTCATACTAAGGATAATACAGAGCTAATACTTAGATACAGAGAAGAGAATTCGCATCACTCAATGGAACAGCGTCAGGCCTCAGTTCTCTTTCAGAACCCTGGTTGAGAAGTGTTGGGTTAGACAGAAACTGAGGCAGAGGGACTGCAGACATGGGGACATCAGCCACAATGGAGGAGAGGAGTGAGAGAACAGTCTGGAAACACAAAGTCTGCCCGCTGCATTAGGAGGCTCCCAACCCCCTTTTCCTGCTTCGCTCCCAGGACACTAATAATAGCTTAGGTTGGAGAAGGGGAGAATCTTCAAACTGGCCCCATAATGAAGCCCCCCGCATGAAATCTTACCCAGTGCCTCACCTTTACACATGAACCATGGTCAAGATCACAGGGTGCGCAAGGAAAGCCTCCAAAAAGAAAGAAGGCTCTTTAAGGGTGTTACATGTTTGTTTTCTTACATTGTGTTTTCTTACATTGAGTTCTTTTCATTAGTTGGGTGACTTGTTTTAGTCTCTTTCAATTTGTTTGTATTGTTCCTGTCATGCTGGATAATGAGCCGTTCAGGACACATTTTAATAATCTTTTATCCTCAGGGTTTGGCACAGAGCCTGGCACCTGACACTGAGACATTTAAGTGTTTGGTGAATGAACGAAGGCTGGAAGATACTATGGGCCGCACTCTAACTCCTGCCAGCCATTGCATTAGGTACCTGAATTCTGCCCAAAACTCATTGTCACCAAGGGCAATGCTGGTCCTCAGAGACAGCGACAGCTCTTTTATAGCCACCACTCCCTCAACACCCAGGCTTGCCACACCGAGCAGAAGGCAAAGAATGCACAAGTATACCCCTTGGAACAAATATCCTCCACTAATCTCCTTGGGGAGGACACCCAGGCCTGCTGTGGGCAACTGACTGCTCCGAGGCGTCTCAGCCAGGACAGTAAGGAGAGAGCCGCCCTGGGTCCAGTCATTTCCCCAGCCCGCCCCCACCCCACCTCCCCACCGCCCCCCAGCTCATGCCCGCTCTCCAGCATCACGGTATCACGTGGTGTTTCCAATGCATATACATTTATTACAAAGTTGTAACAAAGACTGGACAGCATTTTGCTCATTCTGGAGAGATCACTCCTGGCAGTGGATGTCTTTCTGAGCTCAACATGTGTTTCTAATTCAGAGAGTGACCATTTGAACTGAGTTGTCCCGAAGAGCCCAGTGTTGCTGCCCCGGGCGTCTAACCTGACAGCAGCATAGGAAGGGCCGCCGCGGGCCCCAGGTGCGCCGCCGCGGGCCGGGGAACCGCTCCAGGCTCCAGTCCTGATTTGCCCTTGTGGCCCCAGGCCGCCCCCGCCGGCGGGCAGCACCCCACCTTCTGCGGACGGGCCTGGTACCCGACTACCAAAGGCCACTCCTGCCCCTCTAGAATTCTGACTTCACGAAAGCGAAGACCTGCGGAAGCAAATCCCCAGGAACCCGTGAGCTGATGTGCTAAGAACTGGTGTCCTGCGGCCGCTTTGCGCCCCAGCTGGGCGGACAGGAGTCCGGGCTGTGTCTGTGTCCTGCGGCCGCCAGGGAACACCAAAGGGAGGCCTGCTGCATGGTGGGGGGAGACTGCAGGAAGGAGGGCCCTTAGGTGGTGTCTGTTACAGAAGCAGAGGCCGTGGGGGACGGACGCGGGCCTCCGGTCCTGGAGTCGGGGCCCCGGCTGCGGGAAGGCCACGGACCCCTCCTGCCTCATCTGCCCGGTCCGCTCAGCAGGCCAGCTCCGCGGCCCCCTCCTGCCAACCAGACCGAACCGGGTGCCCGTGGGAGCGGGGCACTGTGCGGGGCACCCGGCAGAGGGGGCAGCCAGCCTGCCAGGAAGCCTGAAACCCTGCAAGCACCTTACAGGTGGCCATCGGGCCTCCAAACGCCCACAGGATGCCCACCAAGTCTTCGCAGCTAACCGCCAGCGTGGGCCGCAGCAAGGGGCTGCTCAGGCTCCCCGCAGCCGCTCGGCTGGCGGACAAGGCCCAAGGGCCCCCCCCAGAGTGGAGCACCGCAGGCATGCTGGAGGCTGCCGGGGCAGCGAGACCCTGCAGAACACCTGACCTGGTCTCCTGGAGACACTGGCTCTACTCTGAGCTCACCGTGACCTAGATGCGGCTGACGGCTCTGGCTGGAAGGACGAGAAGCCCTCAGCGCCGCCCGGGAGCACGGTGTGGCCTCCTGCAGAGGGCAACACAGTGAGTCCCGTCGCGACCACGCGGGAAGCCCTGGAATCGGGCTCCACAGCGAAAACGGGTCCACATGTCCGACCAGCACAACCTAGAGAACACTGAGAGGCACACACAGCCGTACTCACAGTGGCGGCACATTTGAAATGGGAAGGAATTTGCAATCACAAAATCCCGGGGCTGGGGGGAGTCTCACCTCGCTGAGCCTCAACATCACCTGGGAATTTTTTTTCTTTTTTGGTAGAACTTCACAAGCTGCTTCTAAAATCCCTATGGAAATGCACAGGATCTACACTCCCTGGCTTTAAGACTTACTCTGAAGCTGCAGTAATCAAGATGTAAATAAAGCATGTCCTATCAACAACTAGAGGAGTCTGCAAGTGGACTGGCTCACACCAAGTCCCCTTTTGTTGCCCACCCAGTGTCAAAGTTGGCCTTCTCATTCTCTCTCCTCTCCCTTGCTCCCTGTTTCTCCCCTTCCTTTGGGCACAGTTCACCCTGGGTGGTGATATCCTGCTGCCTTTCAAGTAGCCTTGCTTCTGCTTCTGGGACCAGAGCTAGGGGGTTTTTGTTTTAATTACAAATTTGATTACAAATTCCTAGGTCTCATTTCATCCCTATTGAGCAGGAATCTCCTGACTGAGCCCAGGATTTCTTACTTTTCTAAAGCTCCCTGAGGATTCTTGCATGCCGCTACGGGGGAGAGCTCAGCCCTGAGAACACCACGCAGCAGCTCCTTACACCCGCCAAAGGGCATCACCAGCACCAGGCGCCCACAGGGTGAAAGGGTGCGAACTGCTGGAGTCAGGCTGGTCTGAGTGTATGCAGTCTGTTTTAGCCTTTATGTATTTATAAAACGCTGACTTGGTCCATCATGCTATCTTGGACCTAAACTGGCCCCCGATTCAGCCAATTTCAAGTTGAGGGCCCAGGCCAGCATTGTGGCATCAGGCCACTCTTCCCCTGGCCAGGTTTTATGGTTAAATCTTTGGAAAATCCATGCTTTTTCATTCTTGTGGTACAGCCTGCATTAGCCACTTGATAACGATGGGATTCCTAAATCTCCAACACTCCTAAATGAAACACCGTGCTTACTATAATTCAAGTACTAGGAGAAACAGCCCTCTGATGTGAGCAGAAGAAACAGATGGGGGGATTCGAAAAAGGAAGTGATGCTGCTGTCCCAGGGTCGGTTGAAACAACATCCTGGTATCTAGGCGGGCATGTCCCTCCTTGGAACTGTGACGTAGGGTAAGAGAGCTTCCCTGCTGCACAGAAGTCTTCCTCCGCCTGCCGTCCCCACCCAGCAGGAGCCCCAGGTTTCTCAATCCTGGGAACTCCCCCCTCTCCCACTGTCAGAGGCACCGGCGTCCAACCAGGCTTCAGTGTCTAGGTCACACCGGGAGGCTGGGATGCCCCGGCTGTCAAAGGGGGCAGCCAGCCACGGCCTCGCTGACAATGCTCGAGTTACAGGCCAGGGCAGTCCTCGGGGCCCAGGCGGGAAAAGATGCCTTTTACCCACGCCACAGAGCAACTCCTGCCCCGCAAGATGCTGACCAAGCGAAAGGCAGAGGGTCCCGGCCAGAAGCGCAGGGCCCCACACATCTCCAACAGGGGGAGTGAGTGCGTGCAGGCAGCAGGCCAAACCCCTCCGGCCACATCGGACAAAAGGACAAAGGACTTAGCAGCCTAACTTAGTCCCAAGTGCTGAGCCTCTCATCAACAGAAGTATTTGAATGTGAATCCTGAATGCTAGGGAGGGGAGATTTCTGGGCTTTTTACACTTCCCACCTGACCCCCAATTTAGAAAAGAAAAAGAAAGGGAAAGAGAGAAGACCCCCACTGGGTTTCCGGAGCCTTCTACGGAGCAGCCAGGAGCCCGACAGGCAGGGCTCTCGTCCCATGTCTGCTTTGTGGACAGGCTCTTCTGGCTCCTCTGAGGCTGGATGCCTGGGGGGTTGTAGGAAGAGAAAGGGAGAAAAGTTCAGCCAGGAGCAGAGTAAACATCTGTTATAGGGGACAGAGGGTTAAAATAATAGGTAATACTGATTGAGTGATTACCAGGGGCCAGGCACTGTTTAATAGTCCACTCCTTATGAGTGCTAATCCTCTTTAAACCAACTTTTTGAGGTAAGTGTCATTATTATTTCCAATTAGTAGATGCAGAAAGTGAGGTAACGAGGTAGATAAATGACTTGCCCAAAGTCCCAGAGAAAGCATGAAGATAGCTGGGATTGCAAACCTGGGAAATAATAAACCCTGGCTGGCTCAAAATCCTCTGATAGTTTCTCATCATACTTAAAACTCAAATCTTTTACCATAGCCTATAAAATCCTACATGATCTGGTTCCTACCTGCTCTCTGACCTTAATGCTTAGGACTTACCTTTGTTCATATACTTGATAAAACTAGCATTCTAAGTTTTTCAAACAGGACAAACTCATTACTGCCCCAGGGCCTTTGCACATTGCTGTTCTGTCTGCCTGGAACACTTCCCACAGATCTCTGCAGGGCTCCACAAAGATGTCCTCTCCACTGGGCAACCCTCTCTGCCCACTCACCTAAAACATATTGCTGTCTCCTCTTCTCCATGAACTTACTCTGTTGTGTCTTTCCTTGCAGACTGATTACTGGCTGAAATCAGATCATTGTTCGCTTGGCTGTGCATTGTCTTCCCTACGAGAGTGTAACATTCGTGAGGACAGGCACTGCAGCGCCAGGACGGGCTCAGATCGTATCAGTTGAATGAGTATGGGAATGACTAGGTGGGGTAGAGGGGGCCAGGAGAGAGACATCACACCCACTTTACTGAGCTTAAGGTGAGATACTGGTTCTTCACTTTTTGGAAGTTGGGCACCTCTCTGCCTCCTAGACGAAAGCCATGGACCTTTGGTCCAAAAAAAAAAAAAAAAACCAGCCAACATTTGCAAATAGTTTCAATAGTCCCTTTCAAACCCCAGGGAAGAACATCTGCACTAATGGGAGGGAGACAAAATAGACTTGGAGCTATATGAGCAGCAGCTGAAGCCCCTGGCCCCCACACTGTCTGCCTTCTGGAAAATTCAGGCCCCTTAGGGATGCTTCTGAAGAAAAGAACAGCATGGGAGAACAGGGCAGTGCACTGGGTAGAAAGGCCAGGCTTTGCCTCCCCAGGCGGTCCAGCCATCTGGTCACTGGTCCAAACCTACATCACATCCTCATCCCTGGGCCTTTGCTCCCTGAGGGAGACATGATGACTATCATTAATATTCCTTCCCTCCCAAAGCATACAAACCACGTCCCCCTTCAGGAGCTGACTTGCTTTGACTAACAAATGTGGCAGACAGGCTGCCATGCCCGGAAGGGGCCCAGCAGCTTCCACTTTCCTTTATGAGCCGGTCACCATGTAGTGAGTCTGACTCCCCTGAGACCACCATGCTGTGAAGCAGCCCAAATTAGCCACATGGAGAGAGAGACAGAGAATGGCCACAGGGAGGACCCCCGACCTTCCAGCCCAGCCAGGCCAGCTGCCAGCTGATTACAGCTGAGTGACTGACTCAGGCTGATGCCAAATGGAGAAGAACCACCAAGCCAAGCTAAGCCAAGCCCCCCTCGAGTGTCTGATGCCCAGAATAATGGAAAACAATAAATCTTTGTTGCTTTAAGCCCCCAAGATTTGGGGTAGGTTCTTACACAGCAATAAATAACGGACCCATTCGTATCAACTCCTCACCAGGTATGCCTCCCCCTCCTGCTTTTCTGGGCCCTAACCATCCCTTCATTATCAGTTCCAGTAACATCTCCTTCCAGAGGCTTCTCTTATCACTCCACCTCACTCTTCACCCCTCCAGCCTCTAAACTCTCAACCTACTCAACCTTGAAGGCTTGACTCAGGGGCTCTCTCCTCTGAGGAGCACCCCCGACTTCCACAGGGGCCACACGTGCCTCTCCACACACCCAGTGTGTCTATGCCCACCCCGTTCCCATGACCATCCCTTTGTCAGCTTGTTGGCCCTCAGACTGTCATTGTCACGTGCATTGTCATCCACATAATCCACACACATAGCTCATTAACTACCACATAATAGAGGCTCAGTGAGACCTTATGAACTGAAAGGATAAACCCTACACCACCGGCTCGGCCTTACATACCATTACATTCATTCTCTCTGCAGACCTATGTGGCTTTCCCACTCTGACTGAAAATGCCTTGAGGGTCAGGATCTTGCTACTCATTCTCTCCATGTCTCTCACAGAGCCCTGCACACAGCAGGTGCTCAATAAACGTTCTGTTGACTTTTAACTGGCCAATGTGTGATTTTCACTGTGACCTTAACTCCAGATTTGCCCCTGGACCTCTGCTACTCAGGCTCCAGACCTCCCGGACCGGGATGCTATATACAAGGAGAGAGTCCTGCTTGTTTATTTTTGGTTCTTTTCAATCAATGGAATTCTCGAAAGTCCACGCATTCTACATTCACAGCAATGAATTCATTCCAGAAGGATAATCTTTTAGAAGCTACATTCTCTTTAAAGACATTCACCTCTGACTCCTCCTTCAACAGACAAGTGTGAAAGAGTTAACACAGCTTCCCACACGGCCTGGGAGTTGCAAATCAACTGGAAATATCTGGTTTAACCTGTTATTATAAAGTACCGTCCAGACAGCCCTGTCACCCCAAGGACAATCATTCTATGAACACACACAGTGTTGTGACCTTTACTCAACATTCCAGAGATAGAGGAGCTGTGTGGGCCTGGGAGGAGGGGATGGTTATAAATAGTGTAGCGTCGTGGGCCCAGCACTGGGGTGGAAGCCAGCTTCCCGGTCCGCACTGGCCTGGGTACCTCCTTATCTACAAACGTCTTATTTCTGGGAACATCCAAAACATTTTCCCACCTGACTACCTCAGATCCTCCAGCTTCCTGGGGACCTACCTGGGACTCACCATGGCTCATCTGCCTCTCATGCTCCAGCCCTCCCCTCCTTGGGTTTTATGTCTCAGCTTGGACATAAAATCCTAGAGGCTTCACTCCATCCTGGCCATAAAAATCTCAGCTCAACATGTGAGGACCTTTGTCACCTGGAGCTGAGCAAGGTGAAAAGGTGATAAAGGCCCAAAGAGGAAGAGAGGAGGAAACAGGGAGAGGGCGAATCAGGAAGTGGGGTCCTTCTGGGCCTACAGTTGGCCCTCAACAAGTCCTTTTGGACCCAGTAAATCTGTGTTCAACTCTGGGACACACAAAGGAGATGTGCTCTGGACTGCAAGACAATTCTTGGATGCAGCCCACCTGGGGTTCCCATCCTGGCTCTGCCACTTTCTGGCTGTATGCCCTTGGATACACTTAACCTTGGGAAAGTAGTGCGCCTTCCCCATGAGGCGATTGGGGGGCTCTAAGACATGTCCCTGAGGGAACCAGCCCAGTGCTGGTACACAGAAAGTGCTCAATAAATGTGAACTCATTTTCCCTCCCTGCCTCCAATTAGAAAAGGCTGCCTCATTATTGAGACTACCTAAATGAAAGAATCCAGGTATAAGAGAAGCTCTGTCCTTCAGGGAGGATGGGCTGAACCCTCAAGTAAGAAAGAAATGAACTTTGTTGAATATATTACTTCATGTTATTAAGGAACCATTCATTCATTCATTCATTCAACAAACATTTGCTGAGCGTCTTAATGCGCAGCAAGCATTGTCCCACGCACAGCTGATGTGCTTCCTTGTTCTAAGCACTACACGGCCTTCAACAGTTACTGCCCCTAAAATGCTTTTCATCCAGGGTCTTGTCTCTGTCTCTGGAAAGGAAGAGGACAGTATTCTACCTGCCATTATCTAGGCCTTAGATTTCAGAGAATAGGAGGTAGCCCGAAGATGATGAGGACAGATTAGAATGACACCCGCAAACAAAAAGCGAGGTTTGTAGACAGGTGAGCCGATAAGCATACAGGAGACCCCCTAAAAGATGGGACAACAATATCCACCGCTCCAAGCTGTCATGCCAAAAACCTGACCCCAACTCTAAGCTCACCAACATGACGGTGTACACAGATCAACATTTTGCCATCTTCCCTGTGGTGAAGGAGTATTCCTTTTTCATTTTCAATCTGTTGTCCTGGTACTTCTGTAAAATGCACAGAAGGTGTGCTTGAATGCTACAGTGAAGTCCAACTGTTTTCAATAGAAGTTTCTAAATACTCTCAATGTGGGTATTTATCTCACTGCCAGTCAGCACCAGTGATTCACAAACTGGCACCAATCTACGAACCACACTTTGGGGAGGACTGATGTAGTTAATCCCAGGGGCCATCCAAAATCTAGCATGATACATGTTGCAAACAAATGCAAGAAATGGAATTGTAAAGGTCAACTTACTGGCTGATGGCTGAAATTTGGCCAGATCTTGCAAGTCGGTAGAAATCTGGAAAACGTGGCTATAGAACTGCTGGACTGAATTCTTCAGGCCAGATATGTCTCTGGAATGTGACCGGAGTGTCCCATTCATCTGCCTGACACAACTCCAGAGGCTGTTGACATGCTTGTTGAGCCCCTCTTTGATCCTCTGAAGACTTCCTGAGATGGAGTCCAGCTTGCTGCAGGTTTTCTCCATTTGAGATACCCTGCTCTCAACCATGGAGACATCCCTTTGGACCCCGTGCGTGTTTTCCTTACAAGTGTCCAGCTCCGAGAGGACCCGGCTCTGCAGGTGCTGCCACCTCTCCTCCAGCTGGCTGCAGCAATGAGCCTTGGGGTTCCGGGGAGATGGGAGGGGCTCCACCGCCCTTCCTTGCTCGCCCCCCTTAGGAAACCCACCCACTGCAGCATTTTTACCTTCTCTACAGCTGCTCAGCTCATTCTGGAGATGATTCACGTAGTCCTCTGTGTGGTTTAGTTGAGAATAAAGAAAACTAAAATCCTGTTGAAGTTTCTGGATGCTACATTCAGTTTCTTGAAACTTCTTATGCATCGTGTCATTCAGAGATTTCAAAAGGTTCAAACTATCACCCGTTATGTGGTCTTCTCCATTTGGCAAAGTATCTTCTAAGCCATGAGGCTCTCTCTGAAAGTTCTGCCGGCAAATATCCTCAACAACTTGAACTTTGTTCTTCAGGTGACTTAACTCAATCATGACCTGTTTGTTCTCAGCCCCTGACCCACCCGGTAAGGCTGAGGCTGGGGGGGTGAGTTCTGCCTCAGTGCTGTTGGCCACCTCCAGGAGAACAGTCCCCAGGCGCTCTTCCAAAGACTGTATTTTCTGATCAAGAAGTTGCTTCAGGTCATCTACCTCGCCATTAATCGTCCCCCGAAGGGTTTCTTCAACGTAAAAGCAATGTTCTTCCGCGTTCTTCTCTGTCACGTTGATCCTTGCATCTAGTTCATTCCATCTGGCATCAAAGTCCACATCTGGCTCTGGAACTACAAGGCGGTCAAATTCATTGTCCATTCGTGCATTCAGCATTCTGGTGGCTTCAGCAACTCTTTCGATTTTCTGGTCTAACATCTTGATCTGTTGCCCAAAGTCACCATTCTTTTCACCACCACAGCAATTTGACTGAGCTGAAGGATCTTGTACCCGGGCTCGAAGATCATTTATTTCTTTTTTCAGGTTTGTTTCCTTCTCTCCTATAAGCTCAATCACTCCTAGGTAGCTGCTCCCATAGTCATCACACTGCTGTTGGAGACCAATCAGCTTGTACTCGCATGAGTTCTTCAGATCGGCCAGCTTTCTGTCCATTCCCTCCATGAGCTCCTCTCTCAGGGCATCAATCTTACTATCGACATAGGCTTGGTAGAGCTCATTGGTCGTCATGGTCACCGTAGGGCCCTGGGCAGCCTCCTGGAGCTGTTTGAGCTGTCCTTCATACCCCTTTACCTTCCCATCCAGCTCTTCCAGTTTGTCACTCTTGTTCTTCAGAGCATCCTTGACCTCAGCCAATTCAGACTTGATGTCCTTCATGCCAGATTCCTTATTGTTGAGGACATCAGGAAGCTGGATGGTCTCTGTGTCTCCGCCAACAGCACTGTCGGGCACCGGCTGGGGGTGCAGGTTACTGAGCCATGATGCCAGCATTTTGCTGGCATTGTCCTGAATGGTATGCTTGAGATTTTCATTCACTCCAGCAATGGAAGACTGGAGATCAAGAACTGTTCTTGCGAGTCGGAGAACCTTCTCTTCAAGCACCTGGATTTTCTGTTCCTGAAGTTCTTGCGGCCCCTGTTTGGGATCTACCGTTTGGCTTGGTTCCGCTGCACGAGTTGGTGACAAAGTCTTCTTGGGCTCTGGGACTTGGCTTGGTTCATTATCTGTTACAAAGAAAGAGTCGGATATGACTTAACACGTTCTACCATTTCCCATTTTCTGCAAAGCCAATAAACAGGGTACCTGAGGAATACACTTAAGCCTTCACTTATAGATCCCCTCTAACCACAGGCAATCATGGTAGAGCGAAAAAGACAGTAGGCTTTGAGTCAAAGAGACCTCTCCTTGCAGTCTGGCTCCGCTGTTTACTGTCTGCCCTTGAGCAAGTTAATTAACTTCTGTGAACTATAATCTCCTCATCTCTGAAGCAGAGGTACTATCTTCGCTCCTAGGGTTGTTAAGAGAATATGTACATGGCACATAATAGACGGTCAGTGGTCTCTTTCACCCTAATGGGAAATATTCTTAATCTACTCTGTCATATGGACACACTGCTCCCACATTAGTGAGCAGCAGCTACACCCCAATGATTGGCTCTGTTCTATAAAACCACAAGAAGCCACTTTAGCAAGATCCACCCATTAGCTGTTGGGTGGTATGATATCATACAAGCAGTAAGTTATCCCCCAAGCAACTCCTAAATATTCTTTTACTTTTATTTTATTTTTTTAATTTTTTTTAATTTTTTATTTATTTGCGAGAGAGAGAATGAGAGACAGAGAGCATGAGAGGGAAGAGGGTCAGAGGGAGAAGCAGACTCCCTGCCGAGCAGGGAGCCCGATGTGGGACTTGATCCCGGGACTCCAGGATCATGACCTGAGCCGAAGGCAGTCGCTTAACCAACTGAGCCACCCAGGCGCCCCTCTTTTACTTTTATTAGCATCACTAGGCTAAAGGAGTCTCATAGACATTGTTTACCACCATTATGCAGTTCGGGAAACTAAAAGCAAAAGAGAAATACAGCAGTGATTCTGTTGGCATCTCCTAACAATAAATCCACACGGTCATATAGACTAAGATTCACTAAATCAAAGAATATAAACATTGAATTTTTGATGATCTGAGAAATATACCTCCAAGGAAATAGTCCAAAAGAAGGAAAAAAAGTTATAAAGATGATTGTGATGAGTCATAAAAATGAAAAAAAAGTGACAAATAGATCGATGAACTCGACAAAAAGAAAATTACTGAAACCTGAGGCAATAGGAGATTAGAAGCAAACCATGCCCCCGAACACACAGTAGGATACAAGGAATACTAGAAAAAGCTAACAGGGGCACCTGGGTGCCTCAGTCAGTTAAGCCTCTGACTCTTGATTTCAGCCCAGGTCATGATCTCAGGGTCCTGGGATTGAGACCCACGTTGGGCTCCCTGCTCTGTGAGGAGTCTGCTTATCTCCCTCTCCCTCTGCCCCTCCCACTGCTCTTTCTCTCTCTGAAATGAATAAATCTTAAGAAAAAAAAGGAGGGGCTAACCTCGACAAGCCTACACAGATGATATGGAGACTATCTTGACAGGTGGAAAAAGTCAAACACAATATAGATTACAATGAAGTAAAATGCATTAAGGTACACTGAACAAACACTAAAAGTAAATGTAGAACGTTGCAGATATTTGAGTTTACTGTTGTTTTTTCCTCCCCTAAACTTTTGTACACAATCATAACCACAGCTATTATTCATTAAAATCAACTTAGTGGTAAAACCAAGACTGGAATTCAGATGGCCAAACTCCCAAGCAGAGAACTTTATAGAATACTTTATTTTCCACACTGAAAAATTTATTCTACCTCAAGCCACTAGGAGAAAAAAACAAACTGTTGAATCACATACAGATGAAATGCCATTCTGAGCAAAGGAAATAAAAGGAAAGGGCAGGAGACTGGGGGAAAATCAGAATGTAAGGAAATGCTTCTTTTCCATACTCCTGGTGTCTGTGGAAACTGCTACAACTTTTTGGAAGGATAATTTGGCAATATGTATCAAAATCTCAGAATCCCTTTGCCCCTGCAATTATACTTCTAGACGTTTATTCTAGTAAATAATCAAGGATGAATCTAAAATATTAAGAGGAAAAAATGTTTATTCAAATACTATCTATAATACTGAAAAACTGCAAACGACCTAAATGACCAATAGCAGGGGATTGTGTTCAAATAATCACACTCAAAAGCCATTAAATGATATTGTAAACTATTTAATGAATGGTTGTTCATTATAGATTGAGTTAAAAAATAAGTTCTAAAAACAGCATGTCCTTGGGGCACCTGGGTAGCTTAGTCGGTTAAGCTTCTGACTTCCGCTCAGGTCACTATCTCAGGGTCCTGGGAAAGAGCCCCATGAACCCCACGTCAGGCTCTGTGCTCAGCAGGGAGTCTGCTTCTCCCTCTCCCTCTCCCCCTCTCCCCCTCCCCCTCTCCCCCTCCCTCTGCTTGTGCTCACTCTCGAGTGCTCACACGCACTCTCTCAAATAAATAAAATCTTTTAAAAAATAGTATGTTCTTTTTAATGATAGTGGATTAAGGATAAGCATTTCCTTTTCATTCCCTTCTGAAATCCCACTAAAATGACAAAACAAAACAAAAAACAGAACAACCATGTCACGTATAAAAAATTGGGAATCAGAATGGTTTTGGACATTTTAACAGCTGTATTGAAAGCTAGAAGAAAATTGAGGGATGCTTTCAAAATTCTGAATAAAAATTATTTCAAATCTAGAATTTTAAAGGTAGAATAAAAATATTTTCAGACTATAAAATAATAGAAAGTGTACCACTCCCATACAATCTTCTCATAAAACTACTGGAGGATGTGCTTTACCAAAACAAGGGAGTAAGTTGAGAACAAGCAGGGAGTGCAAGAAAGAGGGGATCAATGGGAGAGAGACAAGTAAGATCACAGGCTGGCAGCTGTGAACAAGGAAAAGAGGATGACCAGGTGGGGCAGGTAAGAAAGCTCTAGGAGGATGCTTCAGGAAGATGACACTCATGTGTCTGAACATAATGAAAGGACATCTAGATAATCACCCAGAGGAGAGTTTGGGTTGAAATAAGGACAAAGACATAAAAAACAAAGCAAAGGAAAATATAAGACAAATACTAACTCTAAAGAAACCATAAAGCTGTATAGGAAAGGCAACAGATTCATAGTATACTACATGGCTCAGCTGTAAACATTATCTATACAGTTACTACAATGTAAACAATACATATTAAATAAATTAAAAACCTGGTATAAACTGTTCAGAAAGGATGAGGGTATGGGAGCCATGTGCTGGAAAGCAGTGAAAAGGAGTCAAACCCTCACCTTCCATAATGAGAGGTCAATAGATATGGAGGTAATTCCAAAAGACAACGTAAAGAGTTTAAAGGAATTACCTCTGAGAAGGGAAAGTGGGGGAGAAGGAGGGTCACTGTTTTTCTAATAGTCCTTTTAAAGCTATTCGACTCAGTAAACTACATACAGGCTTAAGCTTTTATAAAATAAAAATGAAACAAAAGTAAACTATTATGATCCAACAGACTCCTTTGTGTGTCCCCATCATATTATCTATGATGACTTATTGTAATTACTTGTCTGATGTTTGCCTTCTGTGAGTTCAAGGACTGTCTGCCTTGTTTTTCACTTTTCCCAAGTATCTAGTATAGAGCCTGCCAGATATAGAAGCTCAATAAGTATTTGTGGGATGAATAAATGAATTTTTCTTTAACAAAATGTATGTGCAGACATAGGAAAGAGAGTAATGTGTGATAACAAAATGTTAGCAGTAGTTATCATACGGCGGTGAGATTATGTGTAACTAAGTATTTCCCTATACTTTATAAACACTCTTTAATTGATATGCATTACTTTTTTTCATAAAAATTATTTTAAAATTTTACAGACAATATTGGGAAACACTACAAGTTTCAAAATTGACAATACTTCATGGGAAAATATAATCATTTAAAGACAACCATCAAATTCATGAGAAAACCTAGGTTACATTTATTCTCACTCAACTTAAAAAAGAGGAAAGATAAAAGGACAATTTTTATCCATAAAAGTCAGCCACTTAATGTTAAACTTAAAAGTAAAGGTGAAAATTATCACTGCTTTCTGAGTTATTCACTGAATTTGTGCTACTTCAAAAAAAATTTAGAAACAAATTTAAGAACAACTTCACTGGATGCCTCTCTGTCTTAGCTTTGCAAATATCTCACCCCAAACAGAATGACAGTGATTCTAATTTACCTATTTAAAAAAAAAATTTAGTTCCTTCAAATTCAGATTTATGGGAGCTTGTAGATGAAAAGCAAGAACAAACAAAGCATCACTACATCTGAATCTCTTTTCATCTGTTCTGCACACTACACCAGTCTGAAACCATCCCCTACACTGATTGCTAAGTCCCTGGCTTTCACAAGTTGGCCCTAACAAAGCAATTTACTTGCAAAAGAAAAAATCTGTACTCTGATTGCTACTGCTTTTGCAAATAACTTTGCATGCCACATGTGTCTACTGCAGGCATATATGTGTGTTACTTGAAGACCTTGGAGAGATCGCCATTGAAAATCATAAATCCTACTGTCTGCAGGAGCACTGGAAAAATCAGAGGTGGTCACCCACCACAAAGTACAAAGAAATTACCTGTGGCTTTCTTCATGCTATTTCGAGGCCGGGCGGGCGTGAGGCGGGGAGTCTTCACAGGGTCCCTGGGACCTTCCTGGCAGTCTCCCCCTCTAAAGCCAGGGCAGCACCTCCATTCCAACTGTGTCACTGTCTTGTACTTGGTGACATATCTGGGTCTGAAGTTCACACGATACCTGCCGAAGAAAAGCGTGGCATCTCTCTTCACTGGCTGCAGTTGCCAGAGCCCCTGGCCATCCCTGACTTGGACCCGAATGAACAGGATCCAAGCCCCTGTCTGCCAGAGGGGACCACTGGTCTCCTCAGTCCAGCCCTGACCCCCTGGGGTTCAGCCAAAATCAGACTGGCCTCCTTCTTCCATCTCTTAGACCCACATGCACCCAGCTCCCCTCCCACTGACGGTCGTGAGATCAAGCCCCCTGTTGGGCTCCACGCTGGGCATGGAGCCTGCTTAAGATTCTCTCCCTCTTCCTCTGCCCCTCCCTGTCCTCTCTCTAAAAAAAAAAAAAAAAAAAAGTACATGTTCCCCCCACGCATGCGCATATCACACTGAGACTCATGATGAGCTGTAATGTCCTCCAGACCCAACGCTGGGCCTGGAGCAGAGAGTGGCAATCCAGCAGCCCCCCGGACACTCAGAGGGATGGATGCAGGAATCCAACACCCCCGGGGGCCCCTGCTCACAGCACAGAGGCAAGCTGCTCCTTAACTTCTCTCAACTTCTACTTCCAGCTTGGAATTGTGGCTCTCTAGAACATTTTCACTCTCTCTTCATTGTGAACACCAGCACTAGCCCTTCTCTTTGAGGGGCAATTCCCAGAAAGGAATCAGCTCTCTATCACTTCCCTAGGGCTGCTGTGTGCTGCTCAGGGGAGAGTTGGGGGGCCCATGGGGCCTGGTGCCAGCCAGGTGACTCCATCTCAGGCACCCACCTTGTGGTGGGTGGAGTTCAAAGTCACATTCCTGAGAAAATTGCAAATTACTAAATGTAATGGGTTTTGGCCCCTGAGGGTCAAAACCATGACCCCTAAAACCTCAAATGTAAGGAACTCTCCCACCAACAGGACCCCAGGTGACCCTCTGGGCCCTGGGGACAGCGCTGTCCCAAGCATTATTGTCCCAACACCTGCCAGGCAGCAGAATCACCAGGAACCATAAAGAACTGCCAACCCAATGCCCCTGTCTCACTCTCAGAGGTTCTGATTTAATTGGTCTGCGGTGGGGCCTAGACACACAGATTTTGAGAAGCTCCAGAGAGAGATTTTTTCAAGGAAAACAAGAAAAAGCCCAATGAATGAAACAGAAAAGAAGGGTGGGGCAAGACTTCACTTCTAGGCTCTTAGTTCCCTGGTATTGCCACCACACCTCCCATTAAGGCCCATCTATTTAGTTTCCCCTTTTCACAAATGGGAAAACAAAGGCTCACTGAGGTCAAGTGACCTGTCCAAGTTCCAATGGTCAGGAAGGGCCAGGGCTGGGATTTAAACCCAAGTGTTCTCTCCTGCACCCCAGACGGCCCTCCCAGCACACAGAAGCAGTGACTCCAGAGATGGCCTTAAATTTGAAGCAACCCCACCCACCCAGAGATGTTCCACAAGCCCTACAAGTTTGGGTCAGCGGGTAGCTGCCATCCCCGTTCAGCAAACACTTGTCCGAGCACCCGACCCGGGCCAAGTGCACACCAGCCCCCAGACTCCGAGCACCCCACCTACCAAAAGAATTCCCTGTGTGGTCCTAGAAGCAATAAAAAAAGAAAGAAAATTCCACTTCATTGTTTTGCATGCTCAAGTATAGCATAATGCTGCAAAAATGTGTAATCTCAGAAAACCTTGGTTCCTCTGAGCATTTAAGACTGAATGTGAAAATGTGTTTGTGCTTGGGTGTTGTACGTGAGCCAGCAGATGACAGCCCATAGCAAACCCTTTTGGATGTTGGCTGAGCGGGACCAGGAAAGCAAAACCTGAGGCTGCAAGTCCGACTCCCTCCCCACCTGGAGGCCCTGGCTCCAACTGCTGAGCCGAGTGTAAGAAAGTGCTCGCTCTTTCAACACACCTCATTATTTTCTTTAAAGGCAGTTAGCACTTTGGAGCCAGCTCATAACTTAGGAAAGTTTCCTGGAGTTCCTGTCTTCCTCTCCAGCCCCACACACATCCCCCACCTCCACTCTCCACCCTAATCAGCTTGCTGTAGGCTTTGTGGCTGGCGGTGCGGAGTTCAGGTGGACAGCATTTCTGACAGAGTGGTGAGTCCAGCATGTGGAAGAGGCTCCCTGGCCAGCGGTGACAGCTGGAAGCCATCAGGCGGCCACCTCCAGCCATGGGAAAGCTCACATTCCGGCTGGTCCGTGCACCAGGACATGGGTCCCAGAGGTGACTGAGGGTCCTCAGGCCTCAATCTGGGGGATGGCAGGGGTGGGGGGAGAGGTAGGGTTGTGCATGCAGCCCCCCAGCTTTCCCGGGATTTTCCCTGCAGAAACAGGGCTCCCGCCTCCACGAGAGCCAGCCAGGAGGTTTTCCAGAGGATGGGAGGAACGCAGCAGGATTCCTGGGTCCTCCTTCCATCCCTCGGTGCTCTGCAGGACAATATCCTGGCCAGGGAGCTTTAAAAAAAATATGCCCAGGTCTTTATGCTCAAAATTCTAATTTAGCTGGCCTGGGGCCAGGAATGCCCAGGCATCTGTACCTTTCAAAAACTCCCCCAGTAATTGTCAAGTGCAGCCAGAGTTGAGAAGTGCAGCCCAAAACTCAGGGCACCCATCAGCCTTCCTTCCTCATAGGATCCGGGAGCCTCTGAGGCAACCAAGGGCTAGACAGCCAGGCAGGGGGAGTGAATTGACCCAAAGCAGCCCAAGTGTTACCCCAAGAACCCTTGGGTTGTAAGCGCACAGGAGGTGCCCCATGGACACTTACTGAACCAGCTAATTGACTGCACCCAGCTGGGGGTGGCCAAGCAGAAGGACCAACAGCCCAAGGGACAGAGTCAAGGCGGTGCTGGGCTGGAGCTGGAAGGCTGACTCAGGCTGCAGCCTTGGCTTCCATCCCAGTCTTGGGTAGAGACTGTAACAAAATCCTGTCCCTCAAGGGAGCCCCGTCCACAGCTGCCTCGGGCACTCCCGGGGGCCCCTGGGGGCGGCGGCAGCACACCGCCCCCCCGCCCCACCGCCCGAGCCCACCCTAACCTCTGCCAGTGCTCTTCGTCCCGTCCCCTCAACTCTCCTCCCCTTCCTCTCCATCTGAAACCCTTTTGGGGTGGGGGGTGGTGAAACAAGGGTTCACCATTTTTATCAGTTCAACCACCATTCAAGACATCAGGTCAACCCAGAAGATTCTACTGAGAAGGAAGGTGGCAAGAAGAGGACTAGAAAAGTTGAACAGAGTTCAGGGACCACAGGACTCGAAATGTCCCTATTAAAACAAAATGTGACAAAATGACTGCCTCCATCTGACATCACCCCCTTCCCCCCACAGAAAGACTCCTTCCCACTGACAGGAGGTGAGACTTCTTTCATAACATGCCTCCATTCACGATTGTTCAGTGTCCTCATTTTTAAACACAGCGTCTGTCCTAGTGCAGGTGCTCAACAAACAATGCACAACAGTCAATAATTGACTAATCAAATAGTAATTTAATGATACTAAGTCTACTTTTGACGAGGTTTGGGGGAATCCAACGTCCATATTAAAAGCCCCAAGTGCGCGTCACATCTAACCCCAGCAGATGTGAAACCCCGAGCCTCCCCAGAACCAAATCAAGCTCGAGTCCTCGGGTCACCAGAAGGTGACCTCGAGTTGTGTTGTCCAAGAAGATAGCCATTAATCAGGTGGGGCTTTTTAAATCCAAACTAATTACAAGCAAACAAAATTGAACATTCAGTTCCTCAGTCACCCTGGCCACGTTTCAGGAGCCACCTGCAGATTACTGTGAACATGTCTGTCATCACAGGTGTCTCCTGGACAGGGACTCACGAGGCTGCCACGGGAGGAGCAACTGACACACCTCTGTTCATCTCCTCATTCCTACCCCACCCCCACCTGTCTTCTTTCTCCTCCCTCATCCCTCCCGCATTGCCAGTAGAAGGCTTTTCGGAAATAACCACACATCACTGGCTGAGGATCATTTCTACAAGGTAAGGACCTACGAGGTAAGGATCATTTCCCTGCATTTAGTGTTCACCTGTAACTTCTTTTTTGAATACATGCCACTAAAAGTGCACAAATCTAAAGCCCTGTGCCCCCACTGGGACCCTTGCTTGACTGGGATTTCTCCCAAGAAGAGACTTTCTAGTAAATTCCTCTCTTTCTCAAAGCATTGGCTTGTCCCCAAAACCCTGGAACTAACTCTTCTTGCTTCATTCCGTGTGTGGTCCCACACAGTATCCACTGGAACGGATTGTTAGGATGGAGAAGGAAGCCAGAAAGAAGAGGTGCCTCCCTCTCTCTGGTAGGAAGCACCCTGGGCCTGAAGAAATAACCACCGATCTGGGACAACACCAGCACGTGCATACAAGCAAGAAGGCATTTCAGCAGGCGTCAGGACGCACATCCAGGCAGATGCAGTTGGCCGACGTTCAGGAAATACTCCAAGTTTTCCACCTCCAGGCACGGAATTCACTTTTTGTTTTTCACTGCGGTAAATATGTATAACATATGTGTGGAATACACGTAACATCAAACAAACAAGTGGAACTCCATCAAACCAAAAAAGCTTCTGCACAGCAAAGGAAACCAACATAACAAAAAGGCAACCTAACTGAATGGGAGAAAATAGTTACAGATCATATATCTGATAAGGGGCTAATAGCCAAATACATAAGGAACTCATATAACTCAAAGCAAAAAAAAAAAATCTTTTTGATTAATAAATAGGCAGAGGATCTGAATAGACATTTTTCCAAGGAAGACATCCAGATGGCCAACAGGTTTGTGAAAAGGTGCTCAACATCACTCATCATCAGGGAAATGCAAATCAAAACCATAATGGGATATCACCTCACACCTGTCACAATGGCTGGTATCAAGAAAGACAAGAAATTGGGGCACCTGGATGGCTCAGTCAGTTAAGCATCTGACTCCTATTTTGGCTCAGGTCATGATCTCAGGGTCCTGGGATCGAGCCCTGCGTCGGGCTCCCTCCCACATTGGGCTCCCTGCTCAGCGGGGAGCCTGCTTTTTCCTCC